CTTCTCCAAAACCCTTTAAACAGCTTTACCCCACATTTCACCTCCCTGGGCCTCACCAGGTCCAGGAAGTCACAGCTCCCTCTCCCACAAACCAAGGGCTGACCTGGGCAACTGAAGCCCCCTCCAGCCCTGGCCTTCTGGGGCTTCTATGCGAAAGTCTCTCAACAGTGCCCTCTTGTGGCTCCTAACGCCAAGTTTCAAGACGATGCCTGCAGGCAGAGGGCTGCCTGGGGTCCGTCTATAGAAGCCATGGTCCCGTGTGGGCTGCAGCGACATTGTCCCTGGGTTAATCAGGACATGTGGTGCAGCCTCAGGTACCACTCCCCAAGAGCACATCCTCACAGATGTAGACAACAGAGCCAAATACCCCTATGCACCTGGAACACAGCCACTGCTACCACCACCGAGGGCCAGACACCATTGTCCCCCACCAGGTTTCCTGCTACAGCCTCCAAGCTGGCTTCCCGTGTCCACTCTCGCCACTCTATTCCATCCAACACACTTCAGCTGGAGTGGTTTCTCCAAAATGCAGCCTGTGGGCACAGGCTGCTGTGGCCACTGCCTTGACCTGTCCTCCCCGGCCACTGACAGGGCCAGGGGGCCCAGGACTTCACAGCCTTCTCGAATATGCCCTCAACCTGGCTGTGGTGCAGGCTTTAGCCACACAATTGTGATGCCCTGGCAGCCTCCCCGGCTCTCTGCCATCCGCTTCATCCTCCAGTGCTCTTGGCTGCCCATGCCACGACCCAGCCACCCTAAATGGCTTATGTGGCCGGAATGCCCCCACCTGTCACCTCCAGACTGTCCCCCGCTGCTGTGCCTGTGCCCGGGCACTCTGGCATCACCTCTCATTGCCAGGTTACCTGGAATTGTCTTGAGATCTCTGCTCCAATGGCGCTTCCTCCCTGACTGGTGAGATGGGGTCTGCTCACCTTGTCTTATCTTGATTTCACCCCAAAAGCAGAGCCTGAGGCAAGGATTGAGTGCAAGTGTTTTTTGGGGGAGGTGATGCAGGAAGCCCTGTGAGTGAGTGGGGAGGTGAGGCAAGGAAGGAGAGCTGGGATGAAGGACGTTGGCAAGAAGGTGGCCCCTGTGGGTGGTAGGGGCTCAGTCCTGCTGGGAACACAGCCCAGAGTCATCCCCGTCGAAGGGCGAGGGGACAGAAGTGCTGACCCACACCTCCCACCCATCATCGACCAAGGGCTGCTCCTGGGGCATCACCTCCTGTACACCCAGCCTGTCCCTGCAGTGGCTCCCGCAGCAAGAACACCCCAGACAGAGGTTGCTAGTCCTTGTGGCAATGTGGGAATGGTTAGCAGGTCACTGACAGGGCTCCTGGGCCCTCCTTGTGTTCATGTGTGCCTCAGTCATGACAACAACGACCCTCGCCTCAATTACAATACCCCCGCAGGCCAGTGGCATCCTGGGGGCAGCATATGTCTTCTTATGCTGTCTCCCTGGTGCCAGGCATCCAATAAATATCTGCTGATTGAATAAATGATGTTTAATGTTGCCCTAGGGCCACTGAAGATGTGCCCCAGGAGAACACAGCTTCCATTCCCCCAGGGAAGACAAGGGGCCCTCCATGGTGGCCACTGCAGAGATACGGATATGCCCAAGATACCCCGAGGCCCTGGCCCACTCACTGTAGCCCTCTTTGTTCTGTGTATCTCAGACCCCCACATCTTTCTTCCTTGTCTCTAAAGTGGACCCCCCAGTTCAAGCATCCCAGAGTCTGGTTCCTGTTTGACACTTTTTTTTAGAGACACAGGGTCTTGCTGTGTTGCCCAGGCAGGAGTACAGCGGTGTGATCACAGCTCATTGTAGCCTTAAAGTCCTGGGCTCAAGAGATCTTCCTGCCTCAGCCTCCCAAGTAGTTGGGACTACAGGCATGCACCACTATGCCTGGCTAATTTTTATATTTTTTGTAGAAACAGACTCTCGCTATGTTGCCCAGTCTGGTCTCGAACTCCCAGCCTCAAGTAATCTTCCCCAGCTCCTGAGTAGCTGGGATTACAGGTGCGAACTACTGTCCAAGCCTGTCTGTCACCTTTACGTCCTCCCTTTGGTCACCCCCGGAGGAATGTGTCCTTTCCTTCCTGCCCAGGCAGTAATAACAGAGATCTGCTCACGGGGAGGAACTGAGTGGTTTCTGTTTTCTTCTTTGTACCTTTCTGTATCCTTAAAGTCTTTCACAGTGAATTGTGTTGCTTCTATAATTAAACTTCTCATTTTGAGATAATTATAGACTCACATACACATATAACAAATAATACAGACAGGCCAGGAGTGGTGGCTCACAACTGTAATCCCAGCATTTTGGGAGGCCGAGGCAGGCAGATCACTTGAGGTCAGGAGTTTGAGACCAGCCAGGCCAACATGGTGAAACTAAATATTACTATTAGCCAGGCATGGTGGTGGAAGCCTGTAATCCCAGTTACTCAGGAGGCTAAGGCAGGAGGATGGCTTGAGCCCAAGGAACGGAGGTTGCAGTGAGGCAAGATCGTGCCACTGCACTCCAGCCTGGGCGACAGGGTGAGACCCGGTCTCAAAAAAAAAAGAGAGAGAGATAATACAGAGAAACCTCACGTTATCTTTTATTCAGTTTGCCCCAACTGGTAACACATGGCAAAACCACAGTACAACACTGCAACCAGAATACTGCCACTGATGTGTTTCCAGCCACAAGGCGGCCTCATGCTGCCCCTCTATAACCACAGGCCCTTCCTTCCCACAGACCCAGACCCTTCCTGAGCTCCCAGAAACCACTGATCTGCTCTCCATTTCTATACTTTTATCATTTCATGGTGTCATGCAGGACAACTAGATATCCACAAGCAAAAGAATGAAGCTGGACATCTACCTCATACCATATACAGAAACTAAACTCAAAATAGATTTTAAAAACCTAAATGTAAGAGCTACAACGATAACACTCTTAGAAGAAAACACAGGGCCAGGTGCAGTGGCTCACACCTGTAATCCCAGCACTTTGGAAGGCTAAGGCGGGCAGATCACTTGAGGTCAGGAGTTCGAGACCAGCCTGGCCAACATGGAGAAACCCTGCCTCTACTAAAAATACAAAAATTAGCCAGGCATGGTGGCAGGCACCTGTAATCCCAGCTACTTGGGAGGCTGAGGCAGGAGAATCGTCTGAACCCGAGAGGTGGAGGCTACAGTGAACCAAGATCACACCACTGCACTCCAGCCTGGGCAACAGAGCAAGACTCTGTCTCAAAAAAAATAGAAAAAAAAAGAAAACACAAGTGCAAGTCCCTGTGATCTTGAATCCAGCAATGGTTTCTTAACTATAAGCATACAACCTAAAGTTCATGCAACCTAGGAAAAAATAAACTGTGTTTCACAAAAATTTAAAACCCACGTCTACTTCAAAGGACATCATCAAGAAAATAGGTCTAGTATCCAGAATATACACAGAATACTTACAACTCAATAATAAAAAGATGGACAGACAATTAAAATGTAGACAAAAGGCCAGACATGGTGACTCATGCCTGTAATCCTAGCACTGTGGGAGGCAGAGGCAGGAAGATCGTTTGAGCCTAGGAGTTCAAGACCAGTCTAGGCAATAAAGCGAGACCCCGTCTCCACAAAAAAAATAAATAAATAAATATTAATAGCCGGGTATGGTGGTGTGTGCCTGTGTTCCCAACCACATGAGAGGCTGAAGCAGGAGGATTCCTTGAGCCCAGGAGGCCAAGGCTTTGGTGAGTTATGACTGCACCACTGCACTCCAGCCTGGGTGACAGAGTGAGACCCTGTCTAAAAACTACATATATGTGTGTAGGGGCACATCTATATATATATGTGTGTGTGTGTGTGTATGTGTGTGTATCTATGTATCTATATATAGACAAAGTATTTGAATAGACGCTTCTCCAAAGAAGTTATACAAATGTCCAACAAGCACATGGAAAAACGTTCAACATCATTAGTTATTAGGAAAATGCAAATGGAAACCACAATGAGACACCACTCCATACCTGCTGGGATGGTTATCAGCAAAGTCACAGATGAAACAAGTGTCGTGAGGATGCAGGGAAATGGGAACCCTGGTGCACTGCTGGTGGGCATAGAAAATGGCGCAGCTGCTATGGACAAGAGCTGGGCAGTTCCTCAAAACATGAAACACGGAGTAACATGATCCAGCAGTTCCGCTCAGTTCCTCAAAACATGAAACATGAAGTAACATATGATCCAGCAGTTCCGCTCAGTTCCTCAAAACATGAAACATGAAGTAACATATGATCCAGCAGTTCCGCTCAGTTCCTCAAAACTTGAAACATGGAGTAACATATGATCCAGCAATTCTGCTCCCAGGCGTACACCCCAGAGAAATGCAAACCTCTGTCCACACAAACACTTGCACGTAAATGTTCAAACCATATTATTCACAAAGTAGAATCACTGAAAAGCAGAAACAACCCAAAATTCAACCATCAAAAGAAATGACGTACTGACATACGCCTCAACGTGGATGAAGCTTAATGCCAAGTGAAAGAAGGCCGTCATAAAAGACCACTCATCGGATGACAGCATTGAGATGAAATGTCCCAGAACAGGCAAATTCAGAGACAGAAAGTAGATCAGAAGTCACCAGAGGCTGGGGGAGACGGGAAGGAGTGACTGCTTAATGGTATGGGACTTTTTGCGGTGAATGTTCTAGAATGAACGGTGATGGTTGCACAACACTGTAAATATATTAAAAACCACTGAATTGTATACTCTAAGAGTGAATTTTACGACACGTAAAAGAGATCTCAGATTTTAAAATTCAATTCACATATACAATGTTCTGCTACTTAAAGTGAGACCCACCTGACACAGGTGCTGATACCATTTTCGGACCCTTGTCCAGTGGATCTGCTGTCCCTGAAGAGACACTCGGAAATGGCTGCCCTCCCCCAGGGACACGGAGATGGGGACAAGTCCCCCCTTAATGAAGGGAAATCAGAGGATATCATTTAAGAGGTGGCCAGTTTAGAGTTTCACGAATAACATTTATTGACCACATTCATAACAGAATCTCACCCACATTCATATGAACATCGCTACAACCAAGAATCACCTGATGAGAAATAATTTGGGTTGAATCCTGGGTGTGGATTCTGTTCTACGAGAAAACAGTGGCTGTCACAGACGCCTCCTGATTGGAGGACTCTCGTTAAAGATCTTGATTGTGACACATTTTTGTGGATATTCTTGACAGCAGCTGAAGATTCCAACTTCAAATCCCAAAAAACTGGCTGGAAAGCAAAGCAAGAGACAGTTACTAGGACCCGGCCCCAGGCTGAGACCAGCTGCCCTCAGCATGCCCTTGGGAACCTCCAGGAGTGGAAGGCAAAGGCACCCCACGGTGCACAGGGCTGGAGGAATCCCAGGCAGGAAAGGGGTGCGGGGACGAGGGGTGGGATGCAGTCCTGGCCACATCACTTTCCAGCTGTGGGACCAGGGCAAGGCATTCCACCTCTGAGTGCCCACTTCTTCTGAAAAGGGATGATAATGCTGGCTTTGCAGAACTGTAAAGGGAACAGGTGAAATGAAGGCAGGTCTCGCCCTGCTCTTGGGGGCTCCCTGCCGAGAGATCCTAAGTCCACTCTCTCCTTCCACCCCCGGCTGCTGCAGCACATCTCTCCAGGCCAGCAGACCGGCAGCCGAGGCTTCCCCTGAGATAAGCTGGGTGTGTGGCTTGCGGCACCTCACAGGGCACCCACACATCCCAGCCGGACAAGCTGTGCCCTCCCCTGGGATGCTGGTTGGTGCCTGCTCCGCTGCCCTGGCAGCTTGGCTCAGAAGCAGACACCTGCTATGGAAGCGTACGGACCACCAACACCACAGGGTGAGTGGCTTCCTGGGACTTTCTAGACAAGCTGTTGATGAGGATGGGAAAAGATGGGGGCCTCCAAGTGCCAGGATTCGGGGGCTGGAAAAACAGGAAGCTGCACCGACATGCAGGTGGGTCTCCACCTGGACTGCACTTCTGGGGAACTTCAAAACAAAAGCATGCTCAGGCCCTCCCCAGAACAGTTACTCCAAATCTCCAGATGAAGCCCAGGCATCTTTCTCTTTTTCTTCCTCTCTCCTTCCTTCCATTCCTTCCATCTTACCAGGTAATTTGAGCTTGAGGCCAGGGTTCAGCAATTCCCTTTTGGGTTCCCTGACCATCTACTTAACATTGATCCTTTAAAATTGTTTCTTAAATTTCTTTTAGAGATAAGATCTTGCTCTGTTGCCCAGGCTGGAGTGTACTGACAATCAGCTCACTGCAACTGCAAACTCCTGGGCTCAAGCAATCTTTCCACCTCATCCTCCCAAGTAGCTGGGACCACAGCACCACAGTCAGCTAATTTTTTTATTTTGTATGGAGATGGGGTCTTGCTATATTGCCCAAGCTGGTCTTGAACTCCTGGGCTCAAGTGATCCTCCCACCGTGGGCTCAAGCAATCTTCCCACCTCATTCTCCCAAGTAGCTGGGACCACAGCATTACACTCAGCTAATTTTTTAATTTTGTATGGAGATGGGGTCTTGCTATGTTGCCCAAGCTGGTCTTGAACTCCTGGGCTCAAGTGATCCTCCCACCTTAGCCTCCCAAAGTGCTGGGATCCAGGTGTAGGCCACCACACCTTGCCCATCCTTTAAGGCTGGGATGCGGGTGTGGGCCACAGCACCCGGCCTCGCCCATCCTTGAAGGCCAAGTGTTCTTCTTTGCTCCTCCCAGTGTGGGTACAAAGGAGTCAAACAAAATGTGATCATCAAGTTGCCAGACACAAAAAGAAAGATAAATCCGCAAGAAAAATGACAAAGGAAAGCTCTCACTGTTGCCCAGGTACTGCTCATGCTCGGAGACCACGCAGAGCTCACTGTACCCGCTCCCAGCCCCCTTCCCCATGCATGGCCTGGAGAGGCTGACCCCCAGGCCCACAAGGGACCCATACCTGATGCACATTACCTGATGCACATCACAGCCTCGACTGTGACTGCCCAGGGAGCGGGAGGTAATGTCCAACTCTATGAGAATGGATAACCCAAAAAACAGGGGAGGGGCTCCCACTCCCAGCTGTGGCAGAGTGACCAAGACCGGGCTAAGCTCCTGCTGTGAACAACTAGAAAATAGGGCAGGACACCTGGCAGCTATCTGCAGACACTGCACATTTTGAATCTTCCTCTTCCAATTGCGTGGAGGAGACAAGGAGCAAACAAGTAAATGCATGTAAATTCGATGGTGTGTGCACGTTTGTTCACAGGTCTCCTCGTCCATGTAGGGTGACGCAGGCCTCCAGGCAGGAAGGAGCTGCAATGGGCAAGGATGGGGAGGAGGAGGGGAGGGGAGGCTTTGCAGAGGAGCCACTGCCTAGGCCGAGAGTAAATGGGGAGGAAGAAGCAACTGTTCCCCAAAGTCCTGCTGCAGCCTGGGGAGTGGCCCTGGAGGCTTCCTGGGGGAGGGATCCCAGCAGAAAGCCACGGCTGTGAGCAGCAAGAGTGCCAGGGGCAAAACTCGAAGCCTAGGTGAGGGTAGGGACTAGAGACCAGGGAAAGGGGCTTTCTAGTATGGAGCCTGGCGGCTAGGGTTCGAGCTGGGGGTACAGGCAGGAGGTCCCTATACCGGAGGGGTGCTCAGAGCTCAGAGGCTGGAGGGCGAGTGGCTGTTAAGATGCGCCATTGACCCCAACATAACAATGGAAATGTATGGAAACGACCCCAACATAACAACGGAAATGTGTGGAAACTGGGACCCGTGTCCTGCTGGGAGCAGGGCCATTTTAGAACTTGGGAACAGAGAAGGGGTGGAAGTGCCCCACGAGGCCCCCGCCGCCCCCACGAGGCCCCCGCCGCCCCTAGACTGCCCTGGCATCTCTAGGTGAGGCGGGGCAGAGCCTGTGCCATACAGAGCACCACAGGACACACTCACAGCGCCCCGCCTCAGCTGCCTGTCAAGTTAACCCCTGACCCCAACTCTCCCTCGGTCACCAAGCGTCCCTCAGGTGGACATCACCATGCCAGGGCCACCCGCTGTCCCCCATTCCCCACCTGCTCACCGAATGGCCACAATGACCCTCGGGATGGCCTGGAGGAGGGTCAGGAGGGCAAGGCGCAGCAGACACACTGGGCGAGCCGGTAGCTCGTCCCGCTCGGGGGCCTGGAGCTGCTGGCACTTGGGCAGCAGGCGCTCGTCACCGCAGATCCGCCAGCAGTTGTGCCAGGAGCATGCATCCAGCGGGGGTGCTAGGCACAGAAAAGGTGGGATGAGGACAGGGCGTGTTCCCCAGGACTCTGTGAGCCACAAGGAGGCTGCAATACCAGCCCCAGAGCCTCTGGGAAACGGTGACTTCCAGGGCCCAGCCACAGCCCCGGGGTGGGGACACTGATCCGGAGCTAGCGAGATAAAGGCCATCTTGCGGGTTTATGATTTCCTGGGTAACACCGGCCTTGGGGCTGTTTTTCAAGAGGCTTTCTCTTTTAGAACCGCATATGGAACATGTACAACATCTAACTAGGATTTGCTTCCAAATCATCTTTTTTGGAGCGGGAGTGGGTGGTGAAGATCAGAGGAACCACACTGGATAATGACTGGAGCTGAGTGATGCTGATTTAAGCCAATCTCCACTTCGGGGAGTATTTGAAATTTTCCATAATAAAAATTTAAGGAAAGCCACAAGCACAGATGGAATTCTGGCATTTCCATTTCCCTGATGCTCTTCAGCACTTTCCACACGGGGTCTGGTCAGCACGTGATCCTCCAGATACCAGAGTTTGTTTTTATTTTTTATTACACTGTTAATATGCTACTAATATAAAATATATACTAATTATGTTAACATAAATATCATAAATGTACTTTCCTTATGAAAAATTACGGCACAAAAACATAGAGGAGAGAAGCATCTAAGTCTGTCTTTACAAGAAAAAATGTAAGATCAGAAATGTGAACTTTCTTGTTAAAATGGAAATCAGTCAGATTCGAGGCCAAAGAAAATGTCTCACAGTTTTAAATCACTCCCTACTGGAGGCCAAAGGGGAGAACGATCATAATTCTCTTGGCAGCAACGAGCCCTGCTCTCTTAACTCTGCTGGGAAATCTTCTGGCGTGAATGGGTTTGAGGCTTGAAACGTTACTTACATAGGTCACTTAAACTGCAAAGCAGTGATTGGAGTAAAAATTAATGCTGTTTTTATTTTAAGTATCAGATACCAGATGATGCATGTCAACTAAGCTTTTAGCTTTTCTTAAAAGATGCAAAGTTTTCAAAGTCAAAAATATTTAATAAAAATAAACCCAAAAATGTGTGATTATACGGTTCGAAGAGCCGTAAGAGGTGAGCAGTTGGTTGGTGGTTATTTGTTTCCCAAGCATTCCCCGACTCCTGCCTCTGGGGGTTCCACTCAAATCACTCACCTTTTCCAGGGACCCCAACTCCATTCGTAGATTTACTCATTCATACATTCCATCAAAGCAAACCCACTGCAAAGAGTCGGCGCACCAAGGGAAGGACGTGATGCCGGCCCAGAAAACACAGACACGGCAGCCCTTCGCACCGGGAAACACCTTCAAGATCAAGTCCAGCCCACTCTTTTTAGAGACAAAGAAAGTAATGGTGGGGGTGGAGGTCCTGATCTCCCCATATACTATGTCATGAGAGCAGAAATACACGTATGTGCCAGGTCACAGACAGATCAATCTACATACCAGGTCACACACACACAAATACGTAAATATACTTAACTACGAATACATAAGGGGACTGCAAAAAGTATGTAGAAGATGGAATTAAAAAATAAAAATAGGCCAGGCACAGTGGCTCACGCCTGTCATCCCAGCACTTTGGAAGGCTAAGGCAGGTGGATCACCTGACGTCAGGAGTTCAAGACCAGCTTGGCAGATGGTGAAACCCCATCTCTAATAAAAATACAAAAATCAGCTGGGTGTGGTGGTACGCTCCTATAGTCCCACCTACTCAGGAGGCTGAGGCAGGAGAATCGCTCGAACCCAGGAGGCGAAGGTTGCAGTGAGCCAAGATCGTGCCATCGCACTCCAGCCCGGATGACAGAATGATACTCCATCCCAAAACAAAATAAAAATAAAAAAATAAAAAATATCAAGTTTGTTTCTCAACCTAAGCTCCACAAGGTCAAGACACTTTTGTCAGTGATGACACCAACCGTTTAGTCCATCTTGAAAGAGCTGAGGGTCCTGGGAATTTAAACACATCAATGCAGTCTTTTATTACATTATTAACTGAAGAAAATGGGTGCCCTTTAAAGATGTTTTAAGATTAGAAAACAAAGAAGACAGAAAGAGCCGAATCAGGACTGTAATTTGGCTGTAAGGTGGATGTCTAATAATTTCCCATCAAAACTCTCACAAAGTTGCCCTTGTTTGACAAGAGGAATGAGCGGGAGCCTTGCTGTGGTAGAGAGGGACTCTTGTGGAGCTTTCCAGAGTGTTTTTCTGCTAGAGCTTTGGCTAACTTCCTCAAAACACTCTCATAATAAGCAGATGTTGGCCAGACACAGTGGTTCATGCCTGCAATCCCAGCACTTTAGGAGGCCAAGGCGGGAGGACCATGAGGTCAGGAGTTTGAGACCAGCCTGACCAACATGGTGAAACCCCATCTCTACTAAAAATACAAAAATTAGCCAGGGGTGGTGGCGCACGCCTGTAATCCCAGCTACTCGGGAGGCTGAGGAAGGAGAATCACTTGAACCTAGGGGGCAGAAGTTGTGGTGAGCGCAGATTGTGCCACTGCACTCCAGCCTGGGCGACAGAGCGAGACTACATCTCAGTCAATCAATCAATCAATCAATCAATCAATAAGCAGATGTTATCATCCTTTGGTCCTCCAGAAAGTCAACCAGCAAAATGCCTTGAGCATCCCAAAAAACTGTTGCCATGACCTTTGCTCTTGTCCCATCCACTCTTACCATGATGGGACCACGTTCAGCCCTCGACAGCCATTGCTTTGGTTGTGCTTTGTCTTCAGGATGGTACTGGCAAAGCCATGTTTCATCTCTTGTTACAATTCTTCAAAGAAATGTTTTAGGATCTTGATCCCACTTCTTTAAAATTTCCACTGAAAGCTCTGTTCTTGTCTGCAGCTGATCTGAACACAATGGGTTTGGTGCCCTCTGAGTGGAAGGTTTGCTCAACCTTGATTCTGCAGTCAGAATTGTGTCAGCTGAGCCAGTTGAGATGTCTGTGATGTTGGCTAGTGTTTCTGCTGGTAATCATCAGTCCTCTTTATTTGGGGCATGAACAAGATGAATGTTTTTTCTCACAAACTGATGTGGGTGGGCTGGCGCTGCAGGCTGTACCTTCGACATCGCCTCATCCCTTCTTAAATGAGTCACCCATCTGGAAACTGCTGTTCTGTGGTGCATTGTCACCATAAACTTGTCATAAAGTATCAATGACTTTACCATTGTTCCACCCAAACTTCACCATAAAGATGATGTTTGTTCTGGCTTCGATTTTAGCAGAATTCATGTCACTCTGATAGCGACTCTTTTTAAACTGATGTCTTCTCCTTCTTAGCACCTCAAACTAGACCCTGTTCAGATATGTTATAATAAGTTAATATGAGTTTAGTTTGGTGCAAAAAAAAAAATTGAAATCCATACATTGTTTCATTGCTTTTTTTATTATATGCATTTTCTTTTTCTTTTTTCTTTTTTTTTTTTTGGAGACAGAGTCTTACTCTGTTGCCCAGGCTGGAGTGCAATGGTATGATCTCAGCTCACTGCAACCTCTGCCTCCCGGGTTCAAGCAATTCTCATGCCTCAGCCTCCCAAGTAGCTGGGACTACAGACATGTGCCACCACGCCCAGTTAACTTTTTGTATTTTAGTAGAGACAAGGTTTCACTATGTTGCCCAGACTGGTCTCAAACTCCTGAGCTCAGGCAATCCAGTCTCCTCAGCCTCCCAAAGTACTGGGATTACAGGCGTGAGCCACAGCACCTGGTATATTATATGCATTTCCCATAAACTTTTTCAAGGCCCCTCATATGAATACATATTGTATTGTGAATACATGAATGTGAGTATATACTATGACTATCATGAACATGTGAATGTATATACACCAGGTCACAAATGTATGAATATATGAGCATATTATGTAATGAATAGATACGTAAGTTTTGTGTTTTGAATATACAATGTGCCATGAATATATGAATGTACGAGTATATAATAGGATATATATAGGAATATGTACTATGTCATAAATATATATACACACACATACTATGTCATAAATTATAGAAGATTAGAGCTTAATAAAACCACTTTAGGTCTCATCTAAGCCCAGGCTGGGAGTTGGCTTCATCCGGAGAGCCGCTGCTGGCAGATGGGTAGGGTCTGCTATAGAGCAGAGGTTTCTCTGGGCTCACTGGGGGAAGGTAGTGGGTGACCAGGGATGGCTGTTGAGCAGGGGAGGGAAGCCACATGCATGTCACTGTTACACTGTGGGCAGGTGTCTGGGGATGAGAGGTTCCCCCACCATCCACCATGATGCTCACGAACCCCGCCTTTCTGGGGAGGGGGATGACATGAGACACACGCACACTGGAGTTACCTTGGATGCCTTTCAAACTCTCCTGCCTCCTGACCATCTAAAAGACAAGAATGGAGGCAAGCAGTCAGCCTGGTGACCCTCCAAAGGGGGAGAGCCTGGTGATTGGGACTCCAAACCTCCAGGAGGGGTGCTGGCTGCCTCAAGATAAAAGCCCTGGGCTCCTCCTTATGAGGCCTGCAGGCTCTTTTCTCTGAGGACAGCCTGCCACCCAATGATGGAAAACCAGCAACTGGAAGTCAGGGGGAAGGAAGGAAGCTCTTGTCTACCACCCAGGACACGGGGAAAGCAGGGGAGTGAGAGGCCCAGGGGGCTAGGAAGAGGCCTGCTGCCGCTGTCCAGAACTAGCGCTGTGGAGGCAGCCAGCAAGAGCAGAGAGGACAGGCCATCTGGTGGTGGTCCATCCGGGGCACCCTCCTTCTCACCTCCCTCTATGCAGCCAGGGCCAGAAGAGAGAGTCAGAGGAGGGGCCCAGCCAGGGAAGGGAGGTGGTGTGAGAAGGAGGAGGCAGGGAGGTGAGAGAGGTCGAGGAGAATGCAGAGTGGGAGGAAGAGAGGGAGGAAAGCAGCAGCAGCAGCAGCAGTGAGGGCCAGAACAATCAGCCCTCTGCAGAAAGCAGCACGGCCCTGCCCTTCCAGTGCCAAATGGGAGATGGAGCTGGCCTCCCTGAGCCACACCTGCCCTCTGTGCTCCCAGGCCCATGGCCACAACTGCCAGGGATCTTCTCTGGACATCACAGTGGGAGACTGAGCCAGCCTCCCTAAGCCACACCTGCCCTCTGTGCTCCCAGGCCCATGGCCACAACTGCCAGGGGATCTTCTCTGGACACCACAGAGGCCTCTGTGGGAGCAGAGCCCAGGTACCCCTCTTCCCCTTCTTCCTCCCGTCTCCCCTTTTCCCGGCCCCCACCTCACTCTTCAGTCCTCACTGCAGTGTGCGCCTCCTCCTTACCTGCTGCTGAGATCTCAGAACCTGGGGCACCCAGTAGGGCATCACTGCCTGGTCCCTAGGCATCGGGAGGCGGCCCCCAAAGCGATGGCATAGGCAGGGGCACATCTTGGTGGTTTGGGGGATATAAAACTGAACCATCTTTTGACTCTAACAGAGAGGATGGGAGGAGAAGATTCAGAAGGGGATGGAGCCACTCCTGCCCCCAGCGACTCCCTGATGGAGCCATTCCCCAGAAGACTCCTGGCTCCGTCTTAGTATCAGGGCAGGCCCTGGAGAGCTGTTCCCACCCACAAGCACACCCAACCACTCCAGAGAAGGGACTGTGGTCTACCGTCTACAACATGCCCACTGTTGGGAGACACGGGACCTCCGTAGCTCACCTGGATTCTCTACCCCTCATCTGCACCTGTGCCCTGGCAGAGCACACAGGTTGGTATTGGAAGACCTGGCTCTGTCCTGGCCTGGTGGTCTCCAGCTGGGGCCCTTGGGCACGACACTTAGCATCCCTGTGCCTCGGTGCTCTCAGCTATGAAGAGGGCTCTGCTGGCATCTTAACAAAGTCTATCAGGTTCTAAAATAGACAGCCTTTGATGCGGCAATTCTACTTGCAGGAATGTTTCCTATGAGGATGCTTTCACATCTGCAAAGTTACTATGCACAGAAATATTCGCTGCACCATTATCAGGAGTGACTGGACAGTCTGAATGTCTTTCAGTAAGAGACAATAAATGACAGACATCGGGCAATAGGGTATAGGCAGCCTTGGGAAGAATGGAACAGAGCTGTCTGGACTGACATGGAATAAACTCTGAGACAGGATGTAAAGTGAGGAAAATGCAGCACTGTGAGTTCAGTACACTACCATGTGCATTTTTCAAAAAAGAATGTGCACGCAATCGTATGTATGTGAATTATAGCAAATGACACTCTTGCCTCAGTTCCTCACCCTCCCTACAGCCCACCCTTGGCACTGTGACCCTGCAGCCTCTCCAGCGGAAGGACAGGGTGGTCCCACCTCTCAGCTGCGGGTTCGACCAGGCATATGGTTTGGGCAACAGAATGAGAAGGAGGTTACAGCAGGAGGAGGAGTTACAGCCCTGCACGTAGTGGTAGGGGCTATCAGACATGGGGGAAGGCCGGGAGCAGTGGCTCATGCCAGTAATCCCAGCATTTTGGGAGGCCAAGGCAGGTGGATCACTTAAGGTCAGAAGTTCGAGACCAGACTGGTCAATATGGTGAAACCCCATCTCTACTAAAAATACAAAAATTAGCCAGGAGTGGTGGCAGGCATCTGTAATCCCAGCTACCTGGGAGACTAAGGCAAGATAATCACTTGAACCTGGGAGACGGAGGTTGTAGTGAGCCAAAATCATGCCACTGCACTCCAGCCTGGGCGGTAGAGTGAGACTCCATCTCAAAAAAAAAAAAAAAAAGAAAAGAAAAACAAAAACGGAATGCCATCCCTCATAAGCAGGATAAGAATGTCTCCTCACTGCTCCATTCAACATTGTAGTGAAAGGTCTAGCCAGTGTATTAAGCAAGAAAAATAAAAGTCTCCAAATCGAAAAGGGAGAAAGAAAGCCATCTCTACTTGCAGATGACACAATCATCTGTGTAGAATATCTGATGGAATCCACAAAAAGAGCTACTAGAATAAATAGGCTTAGCAATATTGTAGAATACAAGAACAACAGACAAACATCAGTTGTACTTCTAAATACCAGCAATGCAAAGTCATACATTGAAATTCAAAAACAATGTCATCAAAATTATGAAATACTTACGGGTAAATCTGACAAAAAAATGTATAAAGCCTATATAATAAAAGTTGCAAAATATTTCTGGGAAATATTAAAGAAAACCTAAATACATGTAGAAATGTATCATGTTTATGGGTCAAAAGACTCAATATTTTTCACAAGACAATTCTCTTCAAACTGATCTACAAAGCCCATACAGTGCCAATCAAAATCCCAGTAGGGTGCTTTTGCAGAAATTGACAAACTGATTGTAAAATTCACAAGGAAATGCAAAAAATATATATATATAGCCAACTCTGAAAAACAAAGCTTGAAAATGAGCCCTACTTGATTTCCAGACATTATAAAGTCAAGACACAATAATCAAGACAGTGTAGTATTAGCATAAAGATAGACAATTAGATCAGAAGAGGGTTCAGAAATAAATTCATACATATATGAACAACTGTCTTAGTCCACTTGTGTGGCTATAAAGGAATACCTGAGGCAGTGTATTTTATTAAGAAAAGAGGCTTGGCCAGGTGTGGTGGTGGCTCATGCCTGTAATCCCAGCACTTTGGGAGGCCAAGGCAGGTGGATCACTTGAAGTCAGAAGTTTGAGACTAGCCTGGCCAACATGGCGAAACCCCATCTCTACTAAAAATATAAAAATTAGCCGGGCATGGTGGCGAGCGCCTGTAATCCCAACTACTCAGGGGTCTGAGGTAGGAGGCAGGGGAATCACTTGAACCTGGGAGGCGGAGGTTGCAGTGAGCTGAAATCGATCATGCCACTGCACTCCAGTGTAGACGACAGAGCAAGACTCCATCTCAAAAAGAAAAAGAAAAGAAAAGAGGTTTATCTGGTTCACGATTCTGACGGCTGGAAAGTTCAAGACTGGGAGTCTGCTTCCTCTCATGGTGGAAGGTGAAGGGGAGCCCACATACGTTGAGATCACATACGAGAGAGGAAGCCAGAAAGAGGGGAGGAGATGCCAGGCTCTTTTTAACAACCGGCTGTCTTGGGAACTAGTAGAGAGAGAACTGAGTCACTACCATAAGGACAGCACCAATCCACGCAGGAGGGACCTGCCCCCCGTGACCCGAATACCTCCAACACTGGGGATCCCTAGCTCCAACACTGGTGATCAAATTTTATCATCAGGTTTGAGGGGACAAACATCTAAACTACAGCAACAACTAATCTTTGACAAAGGTATAAAGGCGGGTCAGTAGAGAAAATACAGCCCTTACAATAGATGGTGCTAGAAAAATTAGACTGTCATATGCAAACAAACCCAATTCAAGGCTGGGCACGGTGGCTCATGCCTGTAATCCCAGCACTTTGCTGAGGTGGGCGGATCACCTGAGATCAGGAGTTCAAGATCAGCCTGGCCAACATGGTGAAACCCTGTCTCTACTAAAAATACAAAAAATTAGCCAGGCATGGTGGTGTGTGCTTGTTGTCCCAGCTACTTGGGAGGCTGAGGCAGAAGAATTGCTTGAATCTGGGAGGTGGAGGTAGAAGTAGAAACAACCCAAATGTCCTTCTGGGTGAGTGAATAGACTGTGATCTATTCATATAATGCAGCATTACTCAGTAATAAAAAGAATGACCAAGATCATGCCCCTGCACTTCAGCCTGGGCGAAACAGCAAGACTCTATCTCCAAAAAAAAAATTCAATCCATACCTCACACTATATACAAAAATTAACTCAAAATGGATCACAGAAATAAACATAAAATCATAAAACTTCTAAAAGAAAACATAAGAAAAAACCTTTTCTGACCTCTGGCTCAGCAAAGATCTGTTAGCTACGACACCTGAAGCATGATCCACTGCTGTGCTGGGGATAGGCACACCTAGGCAAGATCCAGAAAACATGGAATTGATAAACTGAACTTCACCAAAAGGTAAAACTTCTCTCTCTGAAAGATACTGATAAGAGAATAAAAAGATAAGCCAGGTCAGGCGTGGTGGCTTGCACCCTGATCCCAGCACGCTGGGAGGCCGACACAGGTGGATCACTTGAGCCCAGGAGTTTGAGACTACCCAGGGCAACAAAGTGAGACCTCATCTCCATAAAAAATAAACAAAATTAGCCTTGTATGGTGGTGCACACCTGTGGTCCCAGTTACTTGAAGGGCTGAGGCGGGAGGATTGCTTGAGCTGGGGAGTTCAAGTTTGTAGTGAGCCAAGATTGTGCACTCCATTCTGGGCAACAGAGTGAGACCCAGTCCCAGGAAAAAAAAAAAAAAAGACAGGCCAAAGACATGGAAAGATATTTAAAAATTGAATCTCAGATCAATAATTTGTATCTAGAATATATAAAGAACTATCAAAACTCAGTAATTTAAAAAAGCAATTCTTATAAAGGGGCAAAACAATTAAACAGATGCTTCATCGAGTAAGACATCAGATATCAAAAGCACATGAAGAGATCCTTGACATCACCAATTATGACGGGTATACAAATGAAAACTATAATGAGATAGACACCTATTAAGACGGCTCAAATTAAAAAGATCAGCCAAACTAAGTGTTGGTGACAATGTGGAGGAATTGGAACTTTAGATACTGCTGGTAGAAATGTAAAATGGTGGAAAACAGTCAACAGACTTCTTTTTTAAAGTTAAATGTACACCTACCATATGATTCAGGAATTCCACTCCCTGGTATTTACCCAAGAAGAATGAAGGCATATGTGCGTACAAAGCCTTGTACACAAATGTTCACAGCAGCTTTGTGTGTAACACATAAGAAGCAGAAACAACCCAAATGTCCTTCTGGGTGAATGAATAAACCGTGGTCTATTCATATAATGCAGCATTACTCAATAATAAAAAGAATGACTATTGATGCTCATGATTACGTAGAAGAATCTCAAAATAATTATGCTAAGTGAAAGAAGCCAGACAAAAGAGTATACAGTCTATGACCTCATTTATATAAAATTCTCAGAAATGCAAATTAATCTACAGTGACAGAAAGCAGGTCAGTGTTTGCCTGGGGATGTCAGGGTACAGAATGTTGGGTAAAGTTAAAAGGAGCCCACAGACATGGTTAAGGGTTGTGTATATGCTCATTATCTTGATGGTGGTGGTGGGTTCAGGGGGGAATACCTATGGCAAGACTTACCACATGGTACATTTTCCACACGTGCAGTTTATCATATGCCAATCAAACCTCTAAAAGTCTAGTTTTTAGAAAAAACTGTTTAAAAATCACAGATCCTTTTATAGTTCATAAGTATGATAACCGGGCACTCACGCACATGTGTGAGGTGTGCCTCCCTCAGGCCTTGCTACGATGTCAGCACATTACCCATCTGACATGAAAATAAATAAATAATCTCAAACTGTCTCCTTGAAATGTTAAAATATCCATTCATATAATACTTCTAATTCTAAGGGGTGACTGGTTCCCTAACATTCACCCTGGACCCTCGGTGAAGACCTCCTGGTTCAAGTCACCTACCTGCTTTCGGGGTCTCAGGGACAGAGGGACCCAGTAAGGCAGTGCTGCTTCCACCCTGGGCACAGGTAGGCGGCCCCCGAATCTGGTCTGGCACTCACAGCAGATGGCCCAGGGGCCAGGGTGCATCTGAGTAAGATCCAGAAACGACAGAACTGAGTTTGATGCTGCATTTGCAGGGATACAGGAGGCTCTCAGGCACAGCAGATCCGTGCTCAGGAAGATGGTGTCCGGGGGCAGGGTCCCTGGCTCCTACTGCAGCTTGGAAAGAGGCAGGCTACCATGGCTTGCCCTGAGGCCTCCAAGGTCATTTGGAGGGGGATTTGCCAGAGCTTGCAAACCAGGTGCACTGGGATTCTCGGCCATTTACTGCCATGCTACAATGAGCAAGTCTCATGGTCCCCTCTGAAAATGGGGATGTACAAGCAGCTTTAGAGCTTATGGGCACATGAGTACTGCCTTTATGGCCATCTGTCTCACTCTGGTCTGCAAGAGCTTCCACATCCATCCCGTGTGACCTTTGCAACACCCTCAGGCAGGAAGGAAAGGGGCTGCCATCACCTCCAGGGGCAGACGGAGAAGCTGATGCCCAGAGCAGGTACATTTGGTGGCCTCCTGAACTCTGAGGTGTTGGGACAGCCTGGCAGGTGTTCTGGAGGCCCAGGGATAGCTCCTGCAACCACACTTTTGTGTCTGGAGCATTCTCTCATGGGATGCAGCTTCTGGACCCACATTCTCTGCTCTCCTCACCCCACAGGGGCATGTTGGGGTCAGGGCCAAGTGGCTGAGGATTTGCTTTGCTTACCGAATGACCTGGGAGGCACACTTCTTTCTTGTAGGTTTGAAATGGGCTATTCCTAGGAAAGAAGAACAGAAAAGCTTAGGGTTTGTGTAAACTAGGGGGCAGGGATGCTAGGGCACAGGCCTGGGCCTGCCTTCTCAGAACTGACTCTTAACAGTAAAACCCAGGGGTGGTGGGGACAGGGGAGGATCCTCTGAGCCCAAGAAGAGTGAGGGTGACATCAGAAGCAGGTGTGTGCTTGCTCACGCGTTCACGTCTAGGGGATCCTGGGGGCTGGTTGTCGTGGAATCTCGCATTCCCAAGCCAACCAACTTCAAGCTGACTCCAGCTAAACTTGTGCTTGGACCATCAGAAAAGATGGGAGCATTCCAACCTGGTGAGAACCTTCCTAGACATGGAGCTGCCAATCACATCACCTAGGATGGTTTGTCAGACACCCCCAACTTACTGAAATACTGAGGGAAAATATCGTCAAACTGTCCATTAACGAACCTCCTTCTACTATAAAAACCCAGGCGCTTTGTCTCTGGGATGACAAAGCATTTGGGGTTACACAGTCTGTGTTACTCTTCCCTGTTCCACCCCACAACAAACTGCTTGAATGTTGACTGATAAAGCGTCTCCAGTGGGTGCAAAGCCCTGCTTCCCTGACAGTGGTGGGTCAAAGTGCTTTGTACTGTGGAAACCGTAAGAGTGATACAAGTGTTTTCAGGTTTCATTGTCATAATAACCGTTATTATTAGTGCTGTTTTTTGTTAGAGTAATAGATTCAAGCATCAACTCTCCCAGCTAATGCTTGAAAACAGAGGACAGGGGCATTGCCCTCCACAGCATCCAAGGCCCCTTCTGGTAAAGACAGCACTGCTATATTCCTGGTAGGGGAGGGGGCCCACACCCATCTCAGGTAGTTCAGGTGGGCCCAACTCACCATTGCCCGGCCTAGAAGGCTGGGGAAAAAAGAAACTCCTTTCTGTTGAGGTTGATAATCTGATAACATGTAAACCTCAGGAGGTTCTGGTGATCATCTTGCCTCCACAAGGAAGCCAGTAAAAGGGAAGGAAGCTGAAAAATGGAGAGAAACCTTCCAGGACCATGGTCAGTGCGTACCTGGATACATCCATGCCTGAAGGCCTACTTCTGATATTTTCAGTTATGTGGAACCATCAGTTGCGTTTTTGTGCTTATGTGAGGTTCCTGTGGGTCGCGGTCAAGAGTTCTGCCTACGTACAGGTAATGCAGCAATGCCGGGCCGGGAACTCACAGACGCGGTGTCGGGTGCCCGCGGGCAGGATTCAGGACGCACTTGCCTGCCATCCTGCGCGCCGGGTGTGAGTGCCAACCTGCAGAGCCCGACGCACCCCGCGCCCGGATCCCCGTCAGCAGCGCCCGAGGCTGCTCCAGTGGCCTCATGATGATGGTGACAACGCCGCGGGGGCAGTGGGGACCGGCTCGCACGCGTATGGCTTCTTATGGCTGACGCGCCCTTTCACACACACATCGTCCGCAGGCCCTGACGCCCCGGCTCCCGCCTTTCCCTCCTGCCTCAGCCCGAAGCCAGCCCGAGACCAACCCAAACCTCCACATCAAACCCTCTGAGGAGCCCAACAGTCCCCGCGCGCCCGCCAGTCGCGCTGATTGGCCCGCGCCCAGCCAATCAAAAATGGCCTTCTGGGTATGTGAACTTAGCTGGCGGCTGATTGGTCCCGCGCGCAGAGACGCGGGGTCAGCGGGTCAGAGCGCGGCTGTGTAGGGCTGCTATTCCCGCTGGGGTAGGTTCTGCAGACCCCGGCCCCTGGAGCCACTCACCATTTCCGACGGATGGGCCGGAGGGGCCGCCGGCCGCACCAGCCAGGGTCTCGGTACCCTGCAAGGAGAGAAAGAGGTGGGAGCAGCCCGCGCGGGGCCCTGCGTCTTGCATAGGCGCTTCTGGTAAAGTCACTCCTTTATAGATAAAGGAGTTGGCGCCGGATCGTTGCGTCCTCAGGTGGGGCTCGAATCGTGACTTTTAGAGAAATAGTGGGTTTTTTTTGTTTGTTTTGTTTTTTAAAAAACAATCTGGGGTTTAAAGGCCGCGGAATTGGAAGCAGTCGTCACCCGGTGGCCTGAGCGTGCAAGCGCCGAAGCTCTGGCTGGCCATTAGCCTTCCCACTTTCGCTTGAACGCGTGTACTTTGCGCAGTTGCCGACATGGAGACAGGACGCATAAAATATTAATGTCTTCATATTTTAGTAAAACCCAGTGCTCTCTGCCTCTCTAATTATCTTAAGTTATTGCCAGTTCCCATTTGTATTTCTTGCAAACGGTTGAGTATACCCTCACTTTTCAGTATTTTCATGCAGACTCTGATACTCTGGATTAATATTTGTATTTGCCCAAACCATCACGAGCACCTCTAACCCTGATGGGTGATACTTCAGGGTGCTGCGTTCTAGCCACAGAGCAAACAGGGTGCTCTCGGGCACTGCCCTCTGGGATTTCTTGGCTTATTTAATCATTAAGATCATGACCTATGAGCAGGACTGAGCTTCCAGCCAGCACATACACACATCCTCTCCTGGCCAGCATCCATACTGATTAGGCAGTGCCCCTACCATACTAGCTGCTTAATATTTCAGATACCCCACCCCGTGTGTGTGTGTGTGTGTGTGTGTGTGTGTAAGTGTAAATCATGTTGTCACTGCCCTCTTTGTAGCTAATGACAAAATTATCTAAGAGTCTCACTATTAGCCTAGCACTTTATTTATGCCTGTCTCATTTCTGCCCACTTTGGAGCACTCGGCTTCTCTGCTGTCTCTGTTTTCCTCCTGAGCACAGTGAAACATTGCTGTAGCACGGCAGGGCATAGAAGACAGGCTCATGCTCCCCTGGACGCTCAGGCCTTCACCTCTGGCACACTAGGTCTTGTCATTCCATGTCAAGAATGGCTCTTCACTGCTCTCACCCACCCAAGAATGGCTAAAATTAAAAGGACTGACGATACCTAGTTTGTCAAGGATGTCGCAGATGGAACCTTCATACATTGCTCATAAAATTGATACAACCACATTGGCAAACTGGCAGTATTTACAAAACCTAAACATACGAATATCCGATGACTGACTAATTCCTCACCTCACCCAAGAGAAATGAGAGCTTATGTGTACCAGAAGACATTAACAAAACTACCCACAGCAGCTTTCCTCCTGATGGCCCCAAACTGGAAATGACCCAGATGTCCATCCATAGGAGAAAAGATTTTAAAAAGTAAGTGTGGCATGTTCACAGAGAGGAGATTTTGTGCAACAATGGAAAAGGGCACACAACCACAACCCGCAACAATGTGGATGAAGCGCACAATGAAGTCACACCCCAGAATGTACAGAAAATTCCATGTGTGTGATGTTCAAAACCAGGAAAGCAAATCCATCATGACACAGGCTGGGGATGTGAAGGAAACTCCAGCCACCCTGCCCTGTGTTCTGAGTAACAAGGCCTAGATCCCAATCCTTGCTCTGCCTCTTACCAGAGACAGGTATCAGACAAGTTGCCTAACTTTTCTGAGCTTTAGTTTTGTGTGTGAAATAGTGATAACCATAGAACCAAGTTTGAGAAGATCAGACATGAAAGAGCATGAGAAGTGCTTAAAAACCAGGGACTGGCGTGGTAGCTCACATCTGTAATCCCAGCACTTTGGGAGGCCAAGGTGGGAAGATCACTTGAGCCCAGGAGTTCGAAACCAGCCTTGGCAACGTAGTGAGACCTTGTCTCTGCAAAAAATTTAAAAATTAGGCATGGTGGCACATGCCTGTGGTCCCAGCTACTTGGGAAGTTGAGGTGGGAGGATCAGTTAAGCCCGGGGGGCTGAGGATGCAATGAGCCATGATTCTGTCCAGCCTGGGTGACAGGGCCAGACCCTGTCTCAAGAAAAAAAAAAAGGCTAGACACAGAGTCCAGCACACGTCAGTTTGTGACGTGAGCGTGCTTCAGGCTGGAAGTTTGGCCACTACCACTGCCTGTTCTAGGCTTTTGTTTCCAAAACCCCCAAGTAGAGGGAAAGAGGAACAGAATGAGATCTCTGTGAACCCAAGGTAATGGGGACCCAAGTCATGCCTACAGAACCTCCTTGATTCCAGGGAGAGAGTTGCAGGTTCCTCCCAGATAACACCTCCCCCGGCAGCCTATACCCAGACAGAAGCAGGGCTCCTGGGCACAGTTGTGTGGTTTCTTCACCAATCAAGGGTCCCTTGCCAAGAACCCAAGTGAGGCTTGCATTTCCCCCATGCTCAGCTCACCCAGTCATGCACCCCAGCCTGGGCCTTAGCCTGCTCCAAAGGAGCACCATGTGTGAGTTTACACAGGAGCACCCTGGGCTAGCAGTGGCTCTGCAGAGAGGCCTGACACCTGAGCAGCAGGAGCTACCCCAGACCAGAGGGGACCATCAACCTGGCTAGACAGGGCAGAGAAGCAGTGGGCCACTGAGGCAAACAGCCTCACTTTCACCTGCTAATGGCTCTTTCCGGCTACGAGAGTTGCTTGACCCATGTGTGGGGACAGCCCTCAGCAGTGACAGGGTGAGGTGAATGTTCCAGCCACTCCACTCTGCAGTCAGGACAACTTCAGGACGTGTTCTGCACTGGCTCCTGGCATCCCCCGCAGGACGGCTCCAGCCGCCTATGTCCTGACCTTCTTGGTCATGCCTATTGTTCCGCCTCCTGTCTTCCCATTCCACCTCCCCACCCACCACCTATGTTTCCAGATCATCTGCCCAATAAACCACTTGCAGATCCTCATCTCAAGGTCTGTCCCCCGCTTAGGGGGACCCAGACAAAGACAGCCTCTGACCATGATGCTGCTGCATGGAAGGGCTTGTTCTGACTACTACGAAGCTCCATGTCACCTGCATCTGTGCCACACACCAGCGACCAAAGCCAGGGCTGGTTCAGAGCTGAGAGCAGTGACCCTCCGAGACCTGGTGGGCAGAGGGAGATGTGTGCCAGTCACTGATGCAAGAGTCGCTGGCTGCAGCAGCATGAGGCTCAGCAAGTGCCAGCAAGATCTTTAGAAGAAAACACCCTGTGTGGATGCCGGGAAATGAGCAGGAAGGAGAGCAGGAGTGGCCCTGCTGAGGTTTCCAGAACACCAGGAGGACGGCAGGTGGCACATTCCCTTCCAGACGCTTACTTTCCGACTCGAGATTTCTTAGAGATGTAAAGCTCCCGTGGAGAGGGAAAAGGATTCGTCATGCACTGAAAATGAAGGCTTAATCCCACAGGGAAGAGCTGTCATTGACCCTCTGTCAGGATTTGAAGAGGCCAGGGGTGGGGGACAGAGTGGGGACACCTCTCTGTGTACCATACAGCTGGTCGCCAAGACAGCATCACATCCTCGGCCAGGCACAGTGACTAACGCCTGTAATCCCAGCACTTTAGGAGGCCAAGGCAGGCAGATCACTTGAGGTCAGGAGTTTGAGATTAGCCTGGCCAACGTGGTGAAACCCTGTCTCTACTAAAAATAACAAAAATTAGCTGGATGTGGTGGCAGGTACCTGTATGCCTGTAATCCCAGCTACTTGGGAGGCTGAGGCAGGAGAATCACTTGAACCCATGAAGCAGAGGTTGCAGTGAGCTGAGACCACACCATTGTACTCCAGGCTGGGCAATACAGCAAGACTCAGTCTAAAAAAAAAAAAAAAAAAAGGCATCACATCCTTTAGGGGGAAAAAAAAAAAGTGAGTTTTCAGCCCCTAAGGCCCTGTGGGTGGACGAGGAGCAAGGAAGACAGACACATCCTCCAGGAACAGCCACCCTCAGTGCTGCCCCAGCCCCCGTGCAGAGCCACACAGCCACACGGTGACAGTGCAAAGCAGGGCCTGGGACAGGTCCACCAGACCTTGCACAGTGCTTCCCCCAGAGGTTTGACGGGGGAGGACGCCACTTCCACACATTTGCGCATTTCTCTCTCTCTAGCTTTGCAGACGTTTCCACAGACGCACACAGCACTGCCAAACCAGAAAAGAACTGACACTTTGTCATTTTCTTTCAGGTTGGCTTGTTATTCCAGGATAATCTTGCCTAATTCAACCCATGGCAGGCATAGAAAAGGAGTTCTACAAACTCAGGTCTTGGAGATAAAGTAAAAATGTGGTTTTTAAACTGAAACCTAGGCTGGGTGTGGTGGCACACGCCTGTAATCCCAGCTACTTAGGAGGCCGAGGCAGGAGAATCGCTTGAATCTAGGAGGCGGAGGTTGCAGTAAGCCCAGATCGCACCACTGTACTCCAGCCTGGGCGACGGAGCATGACTCCATCTAAAAAAAGTAAAATGAAATGAAACCTAAATAAGAACTGTAATTTTAAAAAATCTTAGGTCTTGGCTGGCTGTGGTGGCTCACGCCTGTAATCCCAGCACTTTGGGAGGCCGAGGCAGGTGGATCACTTGAAGTCAGGTGTTTGACACCAGCCTGGCCAACATGGTGAAACCCTGTCTCTACTAAAAACTTAAAAATTAGCCAGCATGGTGGCACGCATCTATAATCCCAGCTACTTGGTGTCTGAGGCACGAGGATCACTTGAACCCAGGAGACAGAGGATGCAGTGAGCCGAGATCATGCCATTGCACTCCAGCCTGGGCAACAGAGCGAGACTCTTGTCTCAAAAAAAAAAAAAAGAAAGAAATGAAAATAATAAAAATCTCAGGCCTTTCACTGGAGACACTTTTGGGGTCTCTTTGAACAGTCCCTTCCCAGGCTGGATCCCAGAGTGATGAGGTCAAGATCACCCAGGTGCCTCTGACTTGTGTCTGTTTGCGTTTTGTGTTCACC